ACAGCAAGACCCTATCTCAAAAAATAAAATAAACCTCCAGATGTTACCAAATGCACTCAGGACAGGACTAGCATATCATACCACTGAGAACCACTGATCTAATACAGATTAAGAACTGTTTACTGTTTAATAACAAATGCTGGAGAGGCTTCAGGGAAAAAAAGAACCCTTCTATATTGTTGGTGGCAATGTCAATTAGTGCAACCACTATGGAAATCATTATAGAGATTTCTCAAAAAAATAAAACTAGGGGCTGGGGATATAGCTCAGTGGCCCAGCGCCTGCCTGGCAAGTGCAAGGTTGGGAGTTCAGTTCCCAATACAAAAAAAACCTAAAACTAAAAATTCCATTTGACCCAGCTATTCCCCTTCTAGGTATTTTCCCAAAAGAGTTTGAAGACATATGACAGTGATACATGCATACCCATGTTTATAATCACACAATTCATAATAGCTAAATCTTAGAAGTGGCCTATATGTCCATCAACAGATGAATGGATAAAGAAAATGTGGTTTTTATCCACCATGGAGTACTACTGTGCCACAAAGATAAATGAGTCATTAGTAGGACTATGGGTGTATCTTGAGACCATAATGTTGAGCGAAATAAATTAGACACATAAGCTTACATATCATATGGTTTCTTATATAAGAAACCCAAACTATAAATAAAGAACAAAATGAAAGAGATAAGATGAAGTAGAGAGATACTAGATGTTTCCCAACTAGGAAGGGGATCAGGAAATGGAAGGAAGATGAAAAAGGAATTAAGATGTGTTATGTGCACGTACCAGCTCTCCACAAGGAAGGTAAAAGTTATGTACTGCCAACATGCACTCATAAAAAAAAAAGTTTTAAAGAAAGCTTTATTTGAACTTCCTCTTCCATCCCAGGGAGTTCAGATCAACCCTTCCTTCTCAGGTAAGTAATAGAAATCCAGATAAAATTCATGAAACAACTATTCCCAGACACTGAAAAGAATGCAGAATTATAATCTGAGAAAAGAAAAATGAGCAAGGTAAGTCTAACTGTTGTCTACAGTTTTCACCTGAAAGTAATTCCCAGGCTGCAGCCCAGGGAGAACCTACCTGGAGTCTAGGATTCTTACTGATCTGTGCAGATAATAGTCAGAATTTGGGAGGCCCACTCAGGCTAGCACTTGGAAAGCAGTGCCTGAGAGCAAGGACCTACACAGAATATAGCTCCACAAATCTGGATAGAATATTCTTGAATCTTTGCTAAATACTTATATACCCAAGCATAAAGTAAAAACCACATATGACTGGAAAAGATAGCTCTTCAGGAAAGAATTACCCAGGAGCTTTAAGGCTAAATTTTCGGCTCACCTAGGGCCAAGAATTTTTACAAACACCCCATCAAACAGAATACATACATATTCTCTCCAAGTGCAAAGGGAACATTCACTAGGCCCTACCATATGCACGGCCGTAAAATGAACCTTTTAAAAAGAGGCAGGTGCAAGCCAGCAAGATAAAAGCAGCAAGAGAATCTGAGGTGGGTGGCATCTGCCTGGCTGTTCTGGAGCGCAGGGACCTGCCCACCTGGCAACTGTCAGCTCCGGCCCAGCGTTATCACAAGACCTTCGGACTGTGAAGCCAGGGAAACCAAAAAGCCCTCCACCGCGTACATGGATTTAGTCTGGGGGGTGAGGGCCGGGCGGGCGGGGTCCCAGATCCGCTCAGTCCTTTCCTAATTACTGAACTACCGTCCCCGGCTCAGCCTACTGGTGGTAGCCCACGCCCTAACACAAGGACACCTCACCCGGCAGTTCACCACCTCGGCCAAATCGATTTGGATGGGCGGCGGCTCGCTCAAGCAACATAGGAAGAAACTCGTGTCGAAGCGGCGGAGCTTTTCACCTATAAACGGCGTGAGCCACCCGCTCCAGGCGTGCAGTGCCCAGATGTTGGGCGTGCAGTCCAGATGCGCACACAAGTCCAGGAAGTGGCGCGCGTCGCCACGGACGCGGGTGCGCCAGGCGGACACGTCCGGCGGAGGCTCGAGGGCACAGGCGAATTCGGGGGCGGAACCCTGGGACTCGGGAACGTGCCGGGCGCCCCTGGGCAGCAGCAGCAGCACGCCGGCCTCCTCGAAGGCCTCCCTGATGGCGCAGATGCGCAGGGCGACGTCATCAGGCAGCGCCGCGGCCTCGCCGTCGGCGGCTCCGGGCCGCGAGATCGGCACCACCGGGAAGGTTGCTGTCTGGGCCGGCGCCGGGCCCAGGCCAAAGCGGGGTGGCTTGTGGTGCGGCGCAAAGATGGGCAGCCAGTCGGCCGAGAGGTCGGCCCTGTCCAGTACGCCGCCGGGGAAGACGTGCGCGCCGGGCAGGAAGGCTTGGCTGCTGGAGCGCTGCAAAAGCAGCACTCGGAAGCCCTCCGCGGGCGGCAAGGACGACGCGGCGGCGCCCGGGCCCTTCCATCCCGCCGCCAGCACAACGCTGGCCGCCTGCCTCCAGATCCTCGGGTCCGTCCTCAGGGGGCCGCTCATGACCACCGGCAGCGCGCGGCTTTCGGGCTCGGCACGAGCGCCGGGACAGGTTGTCTGAGGTTACACCGACCCGGCCGCCTCCAGGGGTGGAAGGCGAGCGCCCGTGGCCTGCATTTATACCGGCGCCTTCCTGTGGGAGGGGCGTGACACCCGAGAGACCGGGCACGCCTGGAAGGCGCTCTTTTGTAGCCGGGTCACGGTCGCTGGACTGTGCGGGCGCCAACGAGTGGTTATCATCCACAGCTGCCCTAAAGAGGGACTGCCTCATCCCCACTCCGGACGCTTAGATCGAGAAGGGCATGCTTAAGGGACTTGTAATATGACTTGGGAGATGTTCAATCCTGACCCAGAAACAGGGATGTCTCTTCAGCTTCTTAGTGGCTGGAAGACGCCCACCTCCAAGACTAGCGCTGTCTTTTGGAAAGAGCCTGTTAAAATTTGAGTCCTTTCTTTTACAGTCCCTTTTTGAGTCACCAACAGCACCTCCCACAATTCCTGATACTGTCGATTGCACATTCCTTATGTTTTGGGGCGAGTTGGGCTATATTCTTGCTGAACCTTCTTCACAAACCATGTTTTAATATGGGCCTTTTTCCCCCTCAGGAGAATCCACAGACAGTACTGCCGCTATGTAGGTTGATATTTGTTAATATCATTTCTAAAGGTGCAAATACCTGTGCATTCACAGCGTTCCCCCAATCATAAAATGGGGCTGTATGTTAAGAAAAGCAACTATAATATAGTAGTTAAGAGAGGACACGGAGAAGATGTGTCAAGTTCCACCCAATTTGAGTCTGATACCAACAGTAATAATTTGGTTAAACATTTGCCAACCTGTAACTAGTCAGTTTATCTTTGAGAACAGAATATTCTGGGCCCAGAGTGCTCACTGACCTGACCAGATGAAACCAGCTAGATCCAAGATGACCACCTAAACTTCTAACTGACTTCAAACCCCATTATAATCCCACTTGCATGCTAAGTAATAAGCCTCAGCACCACGACAGTTGACAATTCCTGTGACCATGACCAGAAAGATATTCTTTATTAGCCCAGTCCTCCATTTCTTGTATTTTATATGTGTGGCTTCCCCACCCCTAATGGGTTGAGAAGTTGATTTCAAGTCTAGACTCCCACTGCTCCATTCTCTGGAGTACATAAACTTGTGCTTTCATTAGCAACTTCCATTTTACTTTCTAGCTTAATGATACTGAACCGAAAAACATCCTGCTTTCAGGAGCTCCCCCTTTATAGGAGGAACCATCAATTTTTTGCTAAGAAGTCCACGGAATCCTGAGTTGGAAATTTACCTTTAGTTATGCCCCAAGAACCTCATGTGCTCGTAGGTGGGGCTTTTGGAAGGTGATTGGATTATGGGGACTTATAGCTGACTTGCTCTTAGGTGAGGTCTGGTAGGAAAAGCCCCCCAAGGGTTTGTCTCCCTTTCCTATTCCTTTCATTCTCCCTGCTCACCACCACTGCCATGCTGTCTGCAGCATCTCCTCTGCCATGCCATCCTGCCTGGGAGCCAATCAGCTGTGGACTAAAATCTCTACAAACTGTGATCCAACATTAACATACCCTCCTTTAAGATGTGGCTCTTGTGTATTGCATCTCAGCAATGAGCAAAGCAACTAAGACAGGAACCCTCCCTGATCTGTTGTTGTCAGCTCTGAAACATAGAATTCTCTGATCTGAAATAATCATTTCTGAGTTACTATAGAGTCCAGCATAATACTGGGGAACATTTATTCATTTATTTAGTGGCCCTTAAGATCACACCTGGGGTGCTGCACCACTAACCCACATCTCCAGCCCCCCCCCCTTTTTATTTTGAGACAAGATCTCGCTAAATTGTACAGGTGAAACTCAAACTTGCAATCTTCCTGCCTCAGCCTCCGTTAATGCTAGGAGTATAGGTGTGTGCCAAAATGATTCTAGTACTAGGACTTAGAGGAATCCAAGAAAGGTGGGTGATATTTTCATTAGGCAGGGTCCACACAGATTCCCCCTGTTACAGTGGGATGGAGCTAACAGATAATGCTAAGCTGTTGTGTATCATGAGCAAATAATTGCAAAGTGTACATCCATGGTAAAAGAAATCTACCTACACTTATTGAAGATCACTGGAAGATGTCCTCAGGGAAGGTCTATGCAGACAAAAATGTGGCATGAACAGAAAAGTGGTGTCAGGGTAACAGAAATAAAAAACAACTCAGCACACTGACAAAGTAGGCTTTTAGAGATTAAAGGATGTGCAGACTGGCCCAGGGGACCTCTCATTGGGTTTCTGGAGTAAGATTAACAGGAATGATTGACAAGGTGCTGAGTCATCTCAGGTGGAATGATTTAGAGAGTAGTCAGAAGGTTGACTTGATGTAATGCTAAATAATTGGTTAAATATGCAGAACAAAGGAAAGAAAGGAGTTAAGGTTCTATCTTGGGAGACGAAACTCACATTCTTTCAATTGTAGAATAATAATAGTCCTAGAAGTACTGTTTACCAAGCACTTACTGTGTGTCAGACATCTGAACTTTGTATTCATTTTATAGCACTTATAAAGCCCTAAGAGGTAAAATCGTATCACCACTTTGTAGAAGTCTAACAATGTATAATGAATTAAGTATCAAGAAAGGACACTTCACTATAAAACTGAACCATGATTTTGTGGATATAAATATTTGTTTTTAGGTAGGTGTGGTGCTCCACACCTGTAGTCCCAGCACTTGAGAGGCTGAGGCAGGAGGATGGTTGTGAGTTCCACATCAGCCTGGGCTACAAAGTGAGCTCAAGGCCAGCCCGAACTGCATAGCAAGACCCTGTCTCAAAAAGAAAAAAAAAGCTTTAGTTTTTAAGTTCTTTTTTGTTTTTTTTTTTAGTAATGGGGATTGAATTGGGGACCTTCAAACTGAGCTATATCCCAAGCCTTTTTTTCCAGTTTTGAGACAGGATCTGACCGAGTTCTGTACAGGTTGGGCTCAAACTTCTGATCCTCTGCCTCAGCCTCCCAGAGTGCTGGGATTACAGGGCTGTGTCACCATGCCACCAAGTACCTTGGTTACTTTTCTCTCATTGCTGAGACAAAATATCCAAAGCCCAAATTAAAGACGGAAAGGTTTATTTAGCTCACAGTTTGTAGAGGTTTCAACCCATAATCAGCAGGCTGGAAGGCAGGGTGGCATGGCACAGGGGCAACACTTCAAGGTAGCAGAAGACAGCAAAAGCAATAAGAGCAAAAAGGAGGGAAGACAACCTCTTTTCTTCCCTTATTTTGTAAGCAAGCTGCCTCCTCCCCTACCCCAGGATGGGTGTAGTACTCACACCTTTCCATGTTCTCTTGCACAGGATCAGGATGTTTATAAAGTAAGGACCCTGGCTCCCTGCTGTGTCCCTTAGTTAAACGTCTCAAATTGACACACTGTATCAACCATTACTATCCACCCCTTGGCAAACTGGCAAACTGGTACATTTCTTTAAACCAGTTTTGACATACAAAGACATGCCTATTCGTAGCATTTCACAGCTTCAACATTATAGCACAGGTTTAACAATCCTTAAGAACCAGTATTAAGTCTATCAGAATTACATTACATTAAACCATAACATTCTGCCCCTAGCCTCCCTAGACAAATGCACATCCCTTTATGCAAAAGGCACTTAGTCCATCTCTTAAGAGTTGTGGAAGTCCTAACATTTTCAACATTGTTGAAAAGTCCAAGTCCTAAGTCTCCTCCAAGACCTAAGGCAAACTCTTAGCTGCAAGTACCTATACAAATAAAAAGTTAAACACTTCCAGCATTCAAGGGCACAAGATAAACATTTTCATTCCAAAAGTTACAGATGGGGGAATACAAAGGACTGGGACCAAAGAAAGTTCGAAATCCAGCAGGGCAAACATTAAGTCCTGTAGTTCCTGTCCAGCATCTGAAACAATCTGTGGCAAATTGTGAGCTCCAAAGGGCTTGGGTGAACCCACCCCTATGACACTTCTGGTGGTTATAGCTCCCACAGCTTCTCTGTTAGGCCCCCTTTGCTTCCTCCTTACAGCTTTCCTTAGATGATCCTACATTCCTGGCTTTTCCAAACTTCCGGGATCTCCACGGCACCTTCGGCTTTACACTCACAGCTTCACACACTGCCCCCTCAGGGGCACACTGCCTGGCCTTCCAGGCCTTCTGGGATTGAGATGACCTTCTTAACCCCACAACTCTTGCATTCTGCGTGCACCTAGAACCAGCTCCACATGGATGATGCCAAGGTTGCTGCCACCTGGAGCAGTAGCCAGGCTTTCCTCTTGGTGGTAGGGGTCAAATGCCTGGATTGCTGGGCACTCTGAACCCAATTCTGAGGAACAAATTTTCTGTGCTGCCAGCATTCTGGAACATGATGCTTTGTGGCTTTCTCCTCAAAGCAAAGTCTTTCACCTTTGCAGTTTTGAGGCTGCAAAGGGTGGAGGTATGCTGCTTTCTGTGATGCCCTCAAGCCATCTTTTATAGTCCCCTGTTCCTTCTCAACAATCAAGATCTCCTCAGCTCTATCTTTGTAGTCCACAGCTTTACTGGAGCTTCCTTTCTGGCCAAACTCACATTTTAAATCATCCTGCTGGGCTCTTTGCTCTTGATTCTCAACACAGATCTGGCCCCCAATAATAGCTATGCCACAGTGTTAACACTGGACTGCCTTGAAATTTCTTCTGCCAGATTAATTAGCCCACTGCCCTTAATCTCAGGCTCAGGCAAAGTCTCTGGACACAAGCAAAATACAGACAAACTTTCTGCCAAGCCATAACATACATCATGTGGAGTCCAACAACCAATGCAGTCCTTCTGCCCGGCAGAAGATTCCCAAGCCTGGTCTTTACTGGCAGGATTTCTATTAGCCTTCTTGTCTTCTGAGCTGTGACCAGGATGTCCCATACAACCTAAGGCATTCCAGATCTCTGAACCTTTCCAAACTCTTCCCACAAGCCATTCCCAAAGGCACTTGAACCACATGGTCAAGTATAGTCACAGCAACGACCCCACTTTTCTGATATCAAATTCTGTCTTAGTTACTATTCTGTCATTGCTAAGACAAAATACTTGATGCCCAAAATTAAG